CTTGATTTATTAATGGAGTAGTTCATGAAAATAAATAAATAAATACCTGCCATTATTTACATACTGCAATTTCATGGAAAACAACAACCAGGACAGTCTTCATAGTTTCTAATTTTGTTTTCCACATAAATATTGGTTTATTACTTTATATTAAAAATTACTTTCCTCACTTTTCTCAGAAAGTGACAACTTCCTCTTTCCAAGCATACTTATAGCCTCTTGAAATGATGCCACCATAACAATATATCTTAATCCCCCAGACTGAAGAACACAGATATTGAAACTATGGTGAGCACTTGATGACTAAAGTGGAATTTCCCAGGGTCCCATCAGGCAGTCAAAAAGTCCCATGATCATAGTTTCAGTAAGTGAGCTATTGATTAAACATGAATGCTTACGGAACATGACCTTAACTGAAAATCTGAAGAGAGCAGTGCCATGAAAGCTTCCTTCATGTACACTTGTGCTGTATTCTATGTCCTCCCATCAACAGACAAGTTCAAATAAAAGGTCAGGTGGTACTATTCCAACTGGATGAATGCCGGGAATTGAGTGCTGTTGATGTTTTCCCCGAGGTCAGCTAAATATCTACAGCGGATCTAAAATATGAATAGTTAATTATAACTAGTTATGGTTAGTTATTCATATTAATCATGAGCTGATTCGTTACACAATATTAATAGACAAAGCATAAATTTTGCTCTGATGACTGACCACCCTTAAAAGCAAAACGACATTCCTTTTTCCTGAACACCTAGACATGAAATTAAAGGATGCTAAGGTTATAAATGGTCCACCAAGATTATGTAACCAGCCATTGTTTGAATATAGTTTAAATTTGAAGGAAATTTAAAGACACTAATAATTGTAATATGCTGATTTGAATAAATAGAGATAGATTTTGTGACAGTATAAACGTCTTTACTGTCACTTTTGATCAATTTTGTCAGTGCTGGCATTTAGTGTTCAATCTCAGCACTGACAGTTCCTCAAACACTCATCAAAATTCATCCCTTTCCTCCCCTCTCTTCCCAAAGCCTTTCTTACCAGGCTGTACCTGGACTGACCTGGCTCTACCCAGCTGGGGCTCAACCCCAGATGCAGGTGAGGGAGAGAGATCAGAAGTGAGCAATGGACCCATTGTTCTGCACACAGAGCCTGAGCCGTGACAGGGGGAATGGTTGCGATAGGGGCAGGAATGCTCTAGGATGAACGCACATCAAAGAACTACAGGCAAAAGGCCGAGAGGTAGGCGTTCTGCCGACATGATTATAGGTACCGCACTCACTGGAGATAAGAAAGAATGAGCGGTTATTGTGGCGCTTGATAGGCACAGACCTGAGATCAGTTTTGAAGTGTCACTTAATAATGGCAGATGTTAGTGAAAATGTGGAGGCCTGGTCCCAGATCAGCATTAAGGGGATTTCAATCAAGATAATGTGAGGGAGCGAAGGCTTTGACAACCGCCTACTGTGTCTTTCATTTCCTCCACTGCCTTTCTATGAGAAACTGTAAGGGTTTACATTTTCCTCACAGACTACTGTAATCACCTTCCATCTTTTGGTATAAGAAATATGTATGTGTGCCAACAGTTGTGGTACTATTAAGACATGTTTTGGCTGAGAAAGGACTGAATCAAATGATAAAATTTATTAATAGCACATTATTGATTGTATAGAATCATTTTCACATTTATAAGAAAGAAATGCATTCAATAGATCAAAAGTGACAGCAGTCTTTAATTTGCATTGTTACAAAATATTTCTATTTTAAATAAATGTCGTTCTTTTTAACTTTCTATTCATTAAAGAATACTGAAAAATGTATCATGGTTTCAATGAAAATATTAATCAGCACAACTGTTTTCAATATCGATAGTAACACATTTTTCATGAGCAAATCAGTGATTACGTATGATGTCTGAAGGACTGTGTGACACTGAAGGCTGGAGTAATGACTGCTGCTTTCTCATGACAGGAATACATTATATTTTAAAATATACTGAAATAAAAAACAGTTCAATTTGTAAAATATATATTTTACCAATTTTACAGACCCAAAATTCTTTTAGCTGTCAAAGATAATAAAAAACTGCAAATAAAAACTGCTAATTCAACATTAATGACCTGCCAGTTTGATCAAAATTGTATTATTGTTAACTATTATTACAAAATCTATATGAAATATATTGTAGTAATTATCAGCAGCAGAGTCAACTAAGAGTCATTAATTTTTAACCAACAACATCAAAAGAAAAGATGGAAACATGCAATAATTTCCCCTAATTGAATATCATGTTTGACTACTTTATATTTTAATTAAAGTGCAAATAACAATTCACACTGAATTCAAATATACATGCATCATTATACCAAAATGAAGTTTTTGTACCGGTCCATGATATTTCTAAACATTTATATAAATGATCTGCAAGTGAACGTCACTATATTGTGCCATCCCAAAAGGAATAAAAAAAAAAAAATCACTTTCACTGACTTTTAAATTAAATGTTCCCTCCTGGTGGAATGACCTGCCCAACTCAATCCGAGCAGCTGAGACATCTTCAAGAATCGGCTAAAAACACATCTCTTCCATCTCTTTTTGACCCTCTAACTCTAGCACTCTCTATTCTAATTCTATTCTTTAAAAAAAAAAAAGAACACAAGCTTTTCTAATCTTGTTGTATTTTATCTATTTGTTTTCTTTTTATTTATTATACAATTAACAAAAGCAAAAAAAGACCTCTAGCACTAGCTTTTTCTATTCTAACTGTTTTCTTTTTATTTATTATATAATAAAAAAAAAAACTTGCTACATGTACTGTGTTAAGCTAACTGAGACTTGTTATAGCACTTGCATAACATTGCTCTTTTGTTGATTTCAACATTTTTTGCTTCCATTGTCCTCATTTGTAAGTCGCTTTGGATAAAAGCGTCTGCTAAATGACTAAATGTAAATGTAAATACACACAGATAAAAAATACCCTTAACATGGGGTTCTTCTACACGGCTACATCTTCATGTGAACCAATATGAGGGCCCTAGATAGTCTTCTGAAGATAAGATGCCTTTACAAGGTTAAAAAGCTAAATCTTCCTGCCACATCCATTTGTCTACACTAAAGCAAGGAAAAGTGAAGACCTCAGGAAGAAACTTGAGCACTCAATGCAGCCAAATGCTCCATTCTGGTGTCCCGTACCCCTTAAAATGACCCTGAATGCAAACTAACAATGTCAGGCTTTCATGGCCATGGAGCTCATATTAGATAACATAAATTATCTCATTCATACACACAGAAACATATGCAAACACCTTCAAAATCACTGCTGCTGGTGTTTTGTTTCCCTTCGCTCCTGTCAAAACCCTGCTGAGTTTTAGCCCAGTCTGGAAAAGGATAGTACAGTACGGAATGATGCCCAGATGGGCATCACTTTCCTTGCACAACATGGGGGGGGGGGGGGGGGGGGAACTAAATATCTTAGTGCATTTTTTTCTAGAAAAAAATGCACCTTAATTTAAGAATTTATATACATTTTGACTAGAAACGAGACAAAATTACTAAGATAAGCCTTTTTTGCAGTGCATATAGACTACATCTCAGTTATATATTGTGTTTAATAGCATTCTGTGCTGAAAATTACATTCACTTGTAGCTTGTAATATAAATGCACAACATTTAGTAACATTTTCATACTTTTTGCATAATTTCATAACATTGAAGTTTTATTGGCAGTGTTGCATAAACATATTCTGTGATATTCACCTTGATTATTAGTTTTTCTTCACACATTACATGTTTCATCCATAGCACACTGATTCTACTATCTTGGTTCGTGGTACGAATAATTAAACAACAATAGTAATAATAGAAATGACATCTAAGGATCAGTCATGGTTTGTGTAAGCATGGATGTAAATCATTTTCACACAGTGAAATTCATTTTCAAATATTGAAAGCTTTTACACTACCAATCAAAATTATGAAGTAGATACGATTTTTATTTTTAATGTTTAATGCATTTTAATTTAAAATAACTGTTTTCTACTTTAATATATTTTAAAATGTTATTTATTCATGTGATGGAAAAGCTGAAGTTTCATTCAATTTCTCCAGTCTTCAGTGTCACATGATCCTTCAGAAACCATTCTAATATGCTCATTTGCTGCTCAAGAAACATTTCTTATAATTATCAATGTTGAAAACAGTTGTGCTGATTTACATTTTACATGGCAATCGAAAGTTTTAACATTACACTATGGCATGTTGTGTGAAGAGTGTAGCAGCACTGATGTAACTGAGAAACAACTTTCAGTTAACAAAACTTAAACAACAAATGACAAAAAGGCCAACGGTACAACACAGTTGATATATAGAAGTCGGCATACATCAAAAGACCACATGAGTAGCAGCGAATGGCTAACAGCTATTTGTTAATAGCTAGCATGCAACGTTTGTCTTTAGCCTAAGGGTGAGACCGACATCAGGGTAAATGCTTTGCTGTGCCCCAACAAAGCAACTCTTTTAGCCAGCAAATGGCCATGTATCCATAAGGGAATGAAGAAGTTTGTTCTAGATATATATCACTATAGTAATAATCTTCAATTTCCAGCCACAGCTCTCTGTTCTGATATCAGGCAGCTCATCGTCTGACTGAACATCTGTTAGTGTTTAAGACAGATCCAGTGCCACCAGTTGACATACTTATGCGGGAAAGTAAGGTTGTATGCATAATTTGACTAGGATTTACAAAAGTTTTTATTTTTCTGGTCACTTTATAGGTTATACGATTTTTCACTCTGATAAAATGGTGATAATCCAGTATAGAAAACATCAACTAAATATGATATGCATAAATAGCCATATATGATATTATCACATCGTATTATTTATTTATAATTTTTTTCATTTTTCCATGCTGTATTGCTCTGTCATTGCTTATACCACAATGTAGATTACGATAAAAAACATGAGGTCATGTGAGGCCACATGAGGTCACTTACCTGCTCTGTCTACAGCAGAGGTCTGAAAGAAAGAAATAAAGAGAGATTAATATCTTGAAAATGATAAGGAAACACAACAAGATTTTATATATATAAAAGCTTATATTTGAAATTCCTGAAATGGAATTTTGATAACGCTTTATGAGTTAATATTTCACTTTCAGGATCCAGAGGGGAACCAATAAAACAGTTTCACAATGTAACTTCATAAACATAGTTTACATTTCAAACCAATCCAATATAAACTAGCCTACCACCTGTCCCTCTGAGTAAAACACTGTGTGTGTTTGTGTATGTGTGCTCATGCCCACCAAGTGCAGCTGGCTAAGAAATAAGGCCATTTGTGTAGCCTCTGCAACCTTGAAAACACCCTCCTCCTTACGAACAAGATACCCCAACACACACACACACACACACACACACACACACACACACACACACACAC